GTGCACCAAGAAAAGTCTTCCAAAGCAATGGAAGCATTGTAATATACAAAGCGAAATTTCTTTGTTTGCTACGTACGAGGCTATGCTTTGAACACAGTACGCATACGCATGCATCCTTTGCAAAGGATTGGTTTGGATAGCCTTCAGATGGTTGTCTTATCTGTAAAAAATGAAACTCTGTACGTCAAAAAATTAAAATGATGGCGTCTGGGTTCCGAATTTGCATTGGCGTGGGACGCCTGCCGAGTTTCATGATTGCTGTATCTGGGTGAATAAACCAAACACTGTACTGTACACACAAACAAGCACGGTACAGCCACCCATTCCGGCAGTTCAGCATGCACCTTGCGGGTGGGTTGCCTACCCGTTCAGGCGCTAAGGCACGTCCTGAGCACACAGTTTAACTTTTTTTTTTTTTTTTTTTTTTTTTTTTTTTTTTTATTTAAACCGGAACCTCCCGACCTTCTCCCTGGGGATCATTAGGCCTTTTGGGGTGATAAGAAAAAAAAAGTTTAACTACGAATATAGACGGCGCGAATCAGCCACCTGGTATTTTGGTGAAACGAAGCATGCACCAAAAGTGTTGCTTTTTGTTTGTACATTTCTCGGACAATCGTGTTTTTTTCTGCAAGACAATTGAGTTTTGCGGTCAGCAAAGCGTGAGGTGGAGGTGAACCGGGCTAGCAGGGGGCGACCTGCAGCCCTCTTATTTACCCGCACCGCCTCCGACCAACTCCCCCTCCCTCTCATTCTCTCTCACCCTCCTTCTCTTCCCCCACCCCTTTGCCCCTCACTATCTCCGAGACCCAACCGACCCGACCCGGGACGACCCGACCAACAAACAGGAGGAGAAAAGCTAAGCGTGTGGCAAATTTTTCCGGGAGGTGCGCGCGGGGACGGAGAGAGAACGAGTGGGGTGGGGAAGGTGAGGGGAAGGGGGTGGGGGAGTTAAAAGAGGTTAGGAAGAGGAGGGGGGGAGAAGCTCCTTTGAATGCGCGATCTCCGCCCGGCGCGCCACGCCGCGCCGCACCACGGCACCGTGCGCTGATGAATTCAATCATGCAAATGCCTGGCGCTGCTTTGCTTCGCCACCCAGCGGCACGCCACGCCACGGCGCCGCACGGCACGCCTCGCCTCGCCATTCTACGCCATTGCCCGCCCTGAGGAGGTGTTGCCGTTAGTGCGATCCCACTCTGGTTAAGGGGAGAAATAACAAGAACTCCTTCCAGCCGTTGGAGGCGTTTTTGTTGGCGGCGTTCTTTTGTTGTGCGGGAATCATGAAGGCCGAGAAGGTTGAGACACTGCACCGAAAAAAAAACAGGTCACAGATGAAAATTATGTTGAACGCTTTTACGCTGAGGCCCTCGCAGCCCCCGCATTTGGCTCATCTAGGAGGGTGGTTAGTAATGTGTAATTAAACTTAACGAGTTGAGCTCGCTCCGGGCGCAACGTAGCGGGGCGGGGGAGGGGGGCAGAGGGGGCGGTAGCAGGATCCACAGGATCTCGCACCGCGACCCCTGTTGTCAGTGATGGAATGCCCTGAAATATCCAGAAGCTCTGCCGCACCAGCAGCCGTACCGTCCCCTTCGCACTGCCCAGCACACCCTCCGTCCACAGTCGGGCGAACGCTACTTTCAAAGCGTGCGGCAAAGCCTCAGTATACTCTGTAAATCTCCCAATGGAATGGCCCCACTGTTTCGAGAGCAGAGCAGAACGAAATGTACCACTGTTGCAAGAGTAAATCAAGCAATCTCGTCCATCCTGAAACAGTGCGTAACGCGATAAGTTCACTTCCACTTTTTGCTACTTTTTGCAGAGTGTAACATGCCTGGTCTACTCTTGCAAACGGTGTAATATTTCGTTCCGCTCTCTGTAGCAGTGGTTCTCTCCTCCTCCTGCATTTTCAGAGTAGACGTATCAACTGAAATTTTTTATAAAGACTTCGAATAAATAACTGGAATGCAGGTTCCTCTTGACGAGAGTCAGTCGTCTGTGATCTTTGCTTTCTCCGAAGTTTACTACACAACAATCTACTACCGTCGAAGACCTTCCTCACGAACGCACCTATTCCTGGAATGCTCTGAGATCCTCCCCAGCCCAGCGCAGCCCATCTAGCAGGGCCTGTATAATTCAATGCCCCCCCCCCCCGCTAGCTCCCCGAGCGGTAGGGGGAAGCGGCGCCTCCGGGCCTCCCGTGAAGCGCCGAGGTGTGTTGGGTTGCCTACCTCCCGGGCGTGTTGACGGAGCAGGTCGGTCCTGCCCGACGGTGGATCCTACTCATTGTAGTGACCTCGCGACTATTTGCCGAGAAAACAACCCACCTTCCGCTCCGTTGTCGCCCTGGACGCCCCCCCCCTCCCTCTTCAGCTCCAGGCCAGGGCGCGGGCGCGGCGGCCGCCGACGGGAATCAGGAACCAACACAGAGAATAGAATGGCCGGCCGGGTCCTCCGCCGCGCCGCTGCTGTGCCCGGCTGTGCCCGGCTGTGCCCGGCTGTGCCCGGCTCCCTCACGGGGCCACGCTTTGAATACTAAGAGCTTTGCCATTGAGCCGTAAGGCGGAGGGAGCAGCGGCGTCGCGCCCCACGCCGTGCTCCCCGCGCCCCACGCCCCACGACTCAACGCCGCGCTCCCCGCGCTCTGCAGCTCTCCACAGCCCCCGCACCCCGCGCACTCCCTCACGCCCCACCCTCAGCGTGACACAACACAATGCCCCCC